TATATATCACCACCATCATGTCGTTAGGGATTTAGAATGCATTTTTGTTTTCATCTCTTTCAATTTATATTTCTACAACCATTGGGAATAAAATAATCATGAAGCTACTAAACCAAGTAAGTGGAAATCAATTTCGTAGTTCTTAGTATAAGCATAATCACTTAGTGGAATAATAAACTCTAGATAGTTTTGAACGAGGTTGTGTGGCTATAGAAGAGAGTATGGTGCTAAAAGTTTAGAATTGTAGTTTCTATTAGATGCTTCAATAGGTTTATCAATGAATGGCTAAAATTAGGGTGAAGATGATAAACGAAGTAAAAGCTAGAGAAGAGAACCTCAACTATGTTATCGTTGGCTGCTTTGAAGAATTCATGGTATGCTCCAACACCAATAAAAGAAGAACTGAAGTGCTGGTTTGAAATTCCTGATTCTGTAATATTTGCAAAATGTTCGACCAAAATATTTTTTACTTGCTTAGATAGTTGAAACTCGGTGTCACATTGTACCAAAACACTTCGAAGAATTGAAAGGCTGCTAAGCAATGGCGCAATATCATCCCAACAATTATTGATTTCCATGCACAACGAATGAATATAAGATACGGCATTCATTGTTGGCGACATCCAGGACCGAATGATGGAAAAGAAAATATTATGTGGCAATCTCTCAAGTCCATGTAGGGATATATATCCAATGCTTTTTGAGCTTACAATTGAAAAAGGCACTTCTTTCACAGCTGTGTTTTCAGCAATTAGAGTTATCATGGGATTCCATCTGCACTATATCATTTTGCATTAAGTCAATCTTTGAACAACCAGAGAGAATGAGAGTTCTTAAAGATTTCAACTCATATATTCCTGTGGGGAGATTGCTTAGATTTGTACAGTCCTTCAAATTTAGCAGTAAAAGATAGCGGAGACTTCCGATAGATCGGTTTACTTTGCGCAATCCAGGACAATCTTTGAGAATGAGTTGTTCAAGACTTGGTATCATTGTATGAAATTTTCCTGCTCAATTTATCGTTGTTCGTTCATATGCTCTTTCTTGAATTTATTATCATTGTATGAAAATATAATGTTATTTGAATGTCTTTGATTACTGGAAAGTAACTTTGAACATGAACGAACGTAGATAGAGCACTTAAGTGATTTGGGATCTAGGGATAGACTCAATAACTTGATATTCTTAATATCGGACTTAATGCAAATTGTATATTAAATTGACTAAGGGATTAGGACTAGTATGCCTTGATGTGAATGTTTGAATGAAGTAATGAAATATTTAACAGAGTTTTATATTCATAGGATTCATGAAACCCAATTCCAACGAGGTTTCTTTTAAATATAAATTCTTTGCACACCGATAAAATACTAAAAATAGTTTCTTGTGTTTTGTGCATTTTGATGTCTAATTGAGTTATAAAAGAAAAAATTGTCATGTGTTGCACAAGTCCTTGGGAGACGATACTTTGAATTTCCTCTATATTACTTGGAACAATTTGGTATACTTGCCAAAAAGTTATCATAAATCAATCGCTATTGTATCATGCACAAAAAATTCGCTAGGAAGGTATTGTGACGGAAACCCATGCTCAATGATCCATCTCAGTTCCTGTGAAAGGTATTCAGAATTTGCAGACATTTCTATTTTATTCAGTTCCGGAAGAAACCACTTATTGGCTTTTGTCCCCTGTGATGAAAAGAGCAAAGAAAAATAAATGGAATGAAAGGAGGAGAAAGCAAACACTTTCAAAAGAAGTTTCAAACCACATGTAAAGAATGTTCTTACATATCTTTCATAGTTATCCAACAACATGTATTCAAGGTATTCAGAAACAGACACTTCTACATTCCCTTGCGGAAGAAACCACTTATAGGCTTTTGTCCCCTGTGATGAAAAGAGCAAAGAAGAATAAATGTAATGCAAAGGAGGAGAAAGCAAACACTTCCAAAAGAAGTTTCAAACCACATGTAAAGAATGTTCTTACAAATCTTTCATAGTTATCCAACAACATGTATTCAAGGTATTCAGAAACAGACACTTCTACATTCCCTTGCGGAAGAAACCACTTATAGGCTTTTGTCCCCTGTGATGAAAAGAGCAAAGAAGAATAAATGTAATGCAAAGGAGGAGAAAGCAAACACTTCCAAAAGAAGTTTCAAACCACATGTAAAGAATGTTCTTACAAATCTTTCATATTTATCCAACAACATGTATTCAAGGTATTCAGAAACAGACACTTCTACATTCCCTTGCGGAAGAAACCACTTATAGGCTTTTGTCCCCTGTGATGAAAAGAGCAAAGAAGAATAAATGTAATGCAAAGGAGGAGAAAGCAAACACTTCCAAAAGAAGTTTCAAACCACATGTAAAGAATGTTCTTACAAATCTTTCATACTTATCAAACCACAGTCGCGTGTTCTTCCCATGTTCTTTTATTGTATTGTCAAGAATAATTGTTATTCCCACTTTTTGTAGCAAATGATGCATTCCCAATTTGTTGTTCTTGTTAACTTTTATGAGGTTACGCTCCATGAGAAGTCTTATTCCAATATCAGTATCTACCGCACAGCCATTTAGGATCTTCGTAGCATACGCTTTGTCCTTACCAACAAAGAAACAGCATATATCAAGGAATAAATCTTTTTCGATTTGATTGAATAAACCGTCGAAGCCTATTTTCAGTTTCTGTTCAACATAGTCAGAGGAAATTTTCATTAATTGAAACAGTACACTATGCCATTCTTCTTCCGTCCTTTCAAACAAAGTACTTCCAATGACTTCAAGAATTAGAGGTAATCCTCCACTATACTAACTACTCTTCTTGCAAGGTCTTTGTATTCTTCTTTTGGTTTTGCTTCTCTGAATGCGTGCCAACTAATAAGCTCAAGGGACTCCTCTGCGTTCATTAGCTCTACCCGATAGAAACAATTAACTTTATCTTTCATCAGGCTTTCATATCTTGTTGTAAGGATTATGACAGTTCCTTCATCGAAACTTTTACGGCAACAGGTCTAAGAATATTAAGTAAGTAGCATTGTCAAGTACAATGAGCATCCTTTTTCCAGAAAGTCTTTCCCTAATCATAGTTCTTCCAATATCAACGCTAGGTATCTCCATTTTTGTTTTTAGGATCTCTAAAAAAAGTTGTTTTCGTAAACGAAGATACTCTCTTGTTCCGCCAACTTGTCCTTCAATGAAACTTTTCTCTGTGAATGTGCCATGAATTTGATTGTAAATGGCTTTGGCAAGAGTGCTTTTACCAGATCCTTCTTTTCCGCATATCCCTAATATACAAACTTCTTTGGATTTGCTTTTGATAATTCGAATCACATCTTCCGCGCGGGAATGTAGTCCAACAGGAAATTTAGTAGCAGACAAGACTGGTAAATTAAGAAGACTCTTAACAATTTTGTCCACTAGTTCAGCATCACTCCTTTCTTTTGTAGGAATGGATGAGACCATCAACTGTTAGAAGAAGAGAATGCGCGTGAAGATTAATACAGAACCTTTCTTTTTTCAGTCACGAAGGCGCGTCAAGACCGTTACAAAGCTTTTTTACTTAACCGATTTAAGGATTAAACTAACACCCACTTTCAACTATATAAACAAAATAATACACTAATAATTATAATATTTTATAATAATTAAATTATGTACTCTTAAAATTACGTATTATCTTTACTATTTTTTTTTCTAAAACCATTACATCGTGTCTCTTTTTATAATATATTATCCACATACCCGTTTTTTAAGTTTTAAAACCAGAAGAATTGCTTTCTCTTTTCACATTACATATATCTCTAAAATGTATATTTAGAAAAAGGATCATTGTAATTTTATATGTTGACTTTGAATTCTAGTTTGCTGGTATAGTATGTCAAAACTCATGGAAAACATCAACTTTGTGTTTGTTTATGCTTCAATATTGTTCATTATGTTGTGATTGCAGGGTGTTTATCCTGTACCAGTTAAAAATGGAAAAACNAAAAAAAAAAAAAAAAAAAGAGATGGCAAAAGTTGTTAATGGAATGACTGTACCACAATTGTCGGAAAATGCCAATTATGATAATTGGTGTGTACAAATGAAGGTGTTGCTAAGATCCCAAGACGTTTGGGATATGGTGAAAATTGGGTACGAAGAACCTGGGGAAAGCGAAAACTTGACAGTAGCACAAATCGCTGCGTTGAAGAAATCACGTATGAAAGATGGATCGGCGTTGTATTTCCTATTCAATGCGGTGGACGAATCGGGATTCGAAAAAATAGTGAACGCAATGACAGCAAAGGAAGCTTGGGAAATTCTGGAGGTTGCATACAAAGGAGATACTCGTGTGAGGCAGGTCCGAGTACAAGCTCTTAGAAGAGAGTTTGAACATCTGGAGATGGAAGAAAATGAAGGAGTTACTCAGTTTATAACTCGAGTGCAAAAGGTGGCCAATCAACTCGGAATGAACGGAGAAGAAATGCCGCCAAACCGAGTTGCAGAAAAAATATTGAGATCTCTAACCGATGATTTTGAGAGTATCGTGGTCACCATCGAAGAAACAAAAGATTTAACAACTCTCACAGTGGATGAGTTGGCTGGGTCATTAAAGGCCCATGAACTGAGAAAGAAGAAGAAGAAGACGCACCCTTCCGATCAAGCACTCCAGATACAATTTGAATCGAATAGAACTCGGAATACTCAGAGTCGAGGTCGTGGATCCAGAGGACGAGGAAGATATGACAGAGGTAATGTTGAGGATGATAGTGAAGAGCAAACCGGTCAGCAAAATTGGCATGACCGAGGACAAGGAAATGATCGAGGAGGTCGATTAAATTATGGAGTAGAGTGTTTTAGGTGTGGCAAGCACGGTCACTATGCAAATGAGTGCAAAACGATCAAGTGCTTCAATTGTGGTAAATCCGGTCACATAGAAAGATATTGTCGGGTTGAGAAGAAAAAGGAGGAGACCAATCTCCTAACTGAAGAAGCTGGAGAAGAGATTGGAATTCTGTTGATGACAAGGAGTGATGACGCAGCGCTACCGAGGAGGAGCCCGGACGTTGCATTGAGGAGTTGGAGATCGGATGCAGAGTTGCATCTAGATTATGAAGAGTCATGGAGACCAGACAGCCCAGAAAGGTATTTGGTCAATTTGTATAGCTCGGAGAAGCATACAGAAGGTGTTTTGGAGAACTCAGTTGAGTTATTTGAGAGCTCGGATGATGAGGTGGAGAGTCCGAAAAGCCCATCAGAGCAGGAGAGAAGCTCGGATTATGTTTCCGTCGAAAAATTTCAAGAGGTTCTTGCAGAACTGGATCGAGAGCGTCAAGCACGTTTTGCAGCAGAAAATTCGATGTCAGAATTGCAGGTGTCGTTGAACCAATTGAAGATGTTGAATCAGGAAGCTATAAAGAAGGATGATGAGTTTGACTGTCTTGGAGATGATATTTTTCATGAGAATGATGAGATGCTGAAGGAACCGGAAGAAATTAAAAAAAAAGACGTATTGCAATTAAAGATTGGGAATTCAAGCCACATGATTGTCACAGGTAAAGAGAAGATTTTGAAGAAAGGTAAACATGAAAATGAAGATGTTGAGATGAACTTGATTACTAAGAAGATGATCCTAAAGAATCAGGAGGACCCGACTATTGATAAAAGCAACAAGTTTTGTGTAGGATACATGAAGCAGAAACGTGATAAAGGATAGAAGGTCATTTAAGTTTACGGGGGAATTTTGTTGGGTAAACTGAAATGGACCCACAATGAGCAGCCCACGTTTTGCATCATAAAAAAAGAAAGATTAAGAATTGGAAAGTTGAGCTTCATGGGTCTTCCATTCAGTAAATGGTTTCTCCACTAACCCCATCATTTCCACTACCCGTGTATCCTTGTGCCCACCATTCTGCCACTATGTTTTTCTCTTTTTTTGGACTTTTATGTTTTGCTATCTTATAAAATGAGAAGGTGTGAAGGTATGAGAGAACAGAGAATAAGAAAGATAGAGAGGGGTGTGTTGTAGTAGAGTGAATGCACGGAAGTGCAGTAGAGAGAAAATAAAATTGTGTGTAGTGTGAGGTTGTCAGTGAGGAAGTGTTGTAGTGAGAAATTCTTGTATGTGTATCCATATATTTTCAACTTTTAAATAAGGAAGTATGTTTCTAGATTTCTACAA